AAACAGTTTCATTAAAATTTCATTAAGTAGTATATGAAACAATTTCATAACCATATATGAAACAATTTCATAACTATATATGAAACAACTTCATCAAAAAAAGTATTATATGAAACAATTTCACAAGATTAACAATTTCATGAAAAAATTTCATAAGATTAACGACGGATGAGAGTAGTTTTTACGGTTTTTACAAATTGGAGTTAATCGCTCCTCTATATATATATATATATAGAGAGAGAGAGAGAGAGAGAGAGAGAGAGAGAGAGAGCGTGAGAAAGAGAGTTAAAGTGAGAAACGTAAGAAGGGATCTCCATCCTTGGATGTACATTAGGATGAGATGCACCAGACGAATCCCTGTATCAAATGCGATTCATAGGTGAATTTGAGATTAAATGTGATTATAGTGATGACACTCTACTTTTGAGAAGAATACTTATAGAGCAAGAAAAAATAACTAACCATCAAATAAATTGCCGAGTGCTAGGAAATTATTTCAAATATTCACGAAGGAAAGCCTAAGAAAAAGTAGAAAAATGGTACGTATTTATCAAATATCAAGTTGAAATCACAATATTTATTACACTACTAAAAATGGGAGACCTTTCCCTACGAACGTTTCCTTAGAGAATCCGCCATTAAAGCGGTGATTCATCACAGAACCGTTACAAAAATTACTAGGTAAATTGCTGGTGAGAAACTCAAATTTGTAATAGACTACATAGAAATTTCCTGGGTGATCCGTTGATATCTTCTTGAAAAATATCGGATTCTACCGACCCATTGATATTTTCTTGAAAAATACATGGATAATCACGGACGAAAATTTTCTTGAGTAACATTTGTGGGTAAAAATAATTTTCTCGAGTGACAATATTGTGGGTAAAAATAATTTTCTCATTATAGGTAAAAATGATTTGTTTTATAGTGTTAAGACGCATAAAACCCGAATATGTTTTTAAAGGAACACCCACTTTTGGTTTTCCTTTTATGAGGTCGTACATATATATGTATATATATATATATAATGGCATAATTGCCACCCACAAGTTGCTCAACTCTTGGGTGCCGACAGGGCCATAGAACTTCATGAATAGGAATAGTTATGCCTTTGTCCTTAGCACACTTTACTAGATTGATGGTCGTCTGCAACCGATTCTGTGGGGTATTCAACTTTGTCGTTTTATATTGTTTTGGTCAAAATATTTCCTGCACTTGGTTTAATCTTTTCAGTAAAAGCCAATAGTACATGATTGTTTACAATGCATCCCAATAATATTAGTTCTTGTTTTTGTTTACAATACTTTCTAGAAATCCTTCAAATTGAAGTTTAATTAATTGATGTGCCAAATAAAATGGAGACTCATAACTCCATATTGATCTAAACATCCATGATGTGGATGTATTATGTTTGCCATGCGAAATGAGGAGTCTCTCAACCTCTAAAACAAAGATAACAACTCGTAAAAAAGTACCTAATTGTGACGGACTCCACATTGAAGTTATCTCAAACCGAAGTTGATATTAGTGATTCACCTAAATATAAATAAGAAGATTACCCAATCACGAGTCTTGAGGACAGTTGTGAGCATGATGGTGAGGTTATGACACTGGACCACTCTAAATTTTGAGCACACAACTTTGAGCTTGAAAAGCAAACTATTGGACCACTCTAATCGGTGAGGCCATGAAAAGTTTTGAAGACAAAACTATGTGCATGAGCACAATTTGAACGCAAGCTACTGCAAAAGTAAGTAGGACGGACTCCACGTTGAGCCTAACTCAAAGTCGAATTTGCACCTATTGCACAAAACCAATATACTATCAAGGTCAACATGTGGACCTAGCTGGATAACTAGCACGTAACTTTAGTACCCTGAAATGTCCTTATCTTATTACCCTACGACAAGCCTTACATTACAGACACAACCATAAGCATAATAGGCAAGAGTCGGCCAACTCATGTTTGAGAAATACCTGAACTTACACTCTCATATAAAAAGAAAATTGGTATCCAAAATGTGTTCAATAATACCCTGGAAACCCAAAAACAGGAAAATATTGTTCATTGAAAGTATAATCATATGTCATAGTTACAAACGTAAGGTCTTTTAAGAATGTAAAGATAGATGATAGCATTCACATTTGTTATCTTAGCACCGATATGAAATGTGTATGAAAGGAATAAAATTTCACTTGGATAAAGAAAACGTATGAAACATATACAAGTATAATGGTTTTCAGGTGAACATACTATCAGTAACAAATCTCCCATTAAGTTTGTAACTCCTAAATTAGTCTTAAAACAATTATTTCATGAAAAAAAAGACTATTCAACCACTAAATTAAAAAAAAAAACAAATTCATTATACTAAAAATCTAAAATCGACTTTATTAGACACCAAAAGAATTTAATAACTAATGAACTTTTTGCGTAAAAAACTTAAGTTTATAAGACTAAAAATTATGCATTAGAAGTGTTATAATGTAACAAGTTTTTTTGTAACACTTTTTGAAATAAATAGTTTTCTATTTGTTTTGTATGCATTGCTTCAAAACTATCTTATAAAAACAAATGTTTTATATATGATGACGTGTCGGTTTCATTTCACAAAAAGATTCTATAAAAAATAATGCGTCATATTATTATAAAAGTGTCCCAAATTAATTAAAAAATTAAACAAGAGATGAAAGACTAGTTTATATCATCATATTCTTGGAATAAAATTCAATCAACTTCAAATCTTATTGATTTCAACAATGCTGAGCTTTAAACTCAAAATCGAGTTCACAATGAACTCAAAATATGGATGGAAAATGAAAAACGAGCCGGAATAAGATAATAACATGAAAGTGTAAATGAAAAATGAAATATTCAGCGAAAAACACGGAAGTGCTTAAAAACAAACTTAAGTGACGGTTTTTGCCCTTTGAGTCCTACCAAAGTTGCTCCTTATTCCATGTTTTGAATCGGCATATCTTGGGCCTGAACAGAGACTTTGTAGCAATAATTATACGTGTTTAAGCGCGACACCCTGTTTGATTGTTGGCCTGGTCATGGGCCTCCACAAACGATTAAAGCGTGATCCTCCATGCCTGCATGTTCTTAAATCACTAGATACCGTTGAATACAAATTCTTGACATGCCTTCCATGGAAAAAAAACATCTAGAAAATCATAAGCTAAATCATAGAAAAAGAAAAAAAAACGTGATTCGGATAAGTACGATGGGTCAAGCATCGATCACTAAATTAAAAGCAATGAGAATCCAAAAGGCAAACCACAATGGTTGCGCCTGTATAATTTTCTACGGCCAAATTCAATTTCGTTTTTAGGGTTTCTTTGAATTTGATATGGGTTACCATTTACTACTGCTAACAGCAGGATGATGCTTTAGGTCTTATTTTTTGGTAGCTGGTTTGTATATTTATTTTTATTTCCTTTTTGGTTTAAGTTTAAGGCTTTCTTCTTCTTCATATACCTATAAAAGACCAAAGAGATGGAGCAGGAGACGTATATATATATATATATATATATATATATATATACCTATGAAGACGTATATATAGATATATATATATATATATATATAATATCATGATGGTTTTGCTTTTACAGACTTCCAATCAATGATTAGGATTAACTTTGTTTTGGTCGTAAGCTTTTGGGAATCACCAACCATTATATATATATATATATATATATATATATATATCATGATGGTTTTGCTTTTACAGACTTCCAATCAATGATTAGGATTAACTTTGTTTTGGTTGTACGCTTTTGGGAATCACCAACCATTTAAATTTTTTGTATTACGTTATCTAAGAGACAAGAACCAGACTTTGGTTGAATGATCTTGCTTTCTAAGAGTGATTAGTTATAGATGCTATAGTATCTGCTTTCTACTCAAGGTTGGAGAGTTGTTATCAAGTGCTTTATACATGTAATAGACGTTTCCTTATTAAGCTCCGTTATGGTCTCCACCAAATATAGTAAAAAGATAAGAAAAGAAGGTTCAAATGTGATTCATTGAAAAAATCTATTTGGAATGCATCTGTGAGCCGACGTTACATTTTGTTCGGTTCACATATGCATCTTGAGAATGAAAGTTTTAACGATTCACATATGTACTTTTCTATAACCTATCTTTCCTACTTTTCCATGATATTTAGTCTTCTTATTTGATTCTCTCACTATATATATATATATATATATATATATATATATATATAATGTGAAGTTTAAACGGGAAATAGTCAGAATAAAAGAACAAGAGGATGCCTATATCACATGTGATTTTATACTTAAAATGTTATGTGATTAAAGAACCATTAATATGGGGGATGCTTATTTTGATCGCGTTCTCCTTTGGACCCAACTATACACAGACACACACAATTATATATGTGTGTGCTTGTGTAGAAAATGTAGACGGAGAAAGAGGTAGGTGCAAATGAGAATCAGGTCAAAGTAACAAACATGAGAATACATATATCACATGTGATTTTAAATAAAAAACACAAGTGGTTAAGGAACAAGGAACCAAGGTTGTCTGGTTCTTTGATTTATAAAATCACATGTGATATAGGCATTCCTATAATTTCTTACTCTGATCTAGTTCACGTTTGAACCCAATCATATATATATATATATATATATATATATACACACATATATATTGGATGTTTCAGTTTAACATATGCATATTCGAGTGAATTTTTTCAAATGATTCACATGTAATATTTTCTTAACCTTTCCTTCTTATTATCTCACAATTCTTATTAAACCGACCCTTATACATATACACATCTTGTTGGTGTTTCGTTTACTCCTTCCCTCCACAAATGAACGCAATTTTATCTATCCGAATGTATATGTAACATACACTTTATGTTCTGCAAGTTTCATAGGTTTATTGTATTGTTACTCTACCTTTTACATCATTGTGAGATGAATTCGATGCTATTGTAATTGTGTATAGTTTTTTCATGCAACAGGCCATATAGGGAACGGATTCGGCAAAAGAAAAGCACGCTGTTTGTAAGATTTGTATTAATGTACTAGTATTTGTCAATCAATTGATATTTGTAATCAAAACCTATTTGTTTAAACAAGTGTAAATCCTAAGACTGCTCGATATTATATATATGTAATTTCGGCAATTTGCAAGGTACCCGATGATGTGATTGCTTTAGATTCGTATAGTATGTTTTAAATTGTTAACTTAAATAATCTGCACCATCTATGGCTTCCTATCTCTCTTTCAACTTAGTTGCAACACCATGGCAGAATCTTGTTTCAAACCACCTCAGATGACCACACACTACCATCTAATGGTATTGTATGTTTGGTTTTACCAAAAATCCCCTAGTTGACGTTTCTTCGTTAGGATGCCAATGACGAGAAGTTGGACGTGTATTCTATATTTTTATTAGTATTTATCGTATTTCATTTCTCAATTATGTATATACTACACAGCTCAATCCGTCACAACCCGCAAGGGTTGTGTTACACTTTTGAATGTATTGAGTTGGGTTGAAAGGTTTCCAAACCTCCATTACTGAGTTTGCTTATAAAAATGTCGCAGACCACTCAACTCAATCCGTGTACACCCCTATTTCAAATACCCACACCAAATGGTAAAATCCAAGCAAAATAACTAATGGTTTTCATCTACCATGAACAGAAAATACCTAAATAATCATCAAAATGAATATTTTCTAGTTAACTCATTAAAATATATTCAGTATCTAAAATAAAATCATTTTGACATGTATATATTATCTTCAAAGCAACTAGAACTTATTTTACTAGATTTATGCTAAGTTTAGGTTCCAAACCAAACCTTGAGGTACTTTTGGGGAAGACTTGAAATCCTCAAGCTAGAACTTCAGATCTAAAATGCAAAGCTTTCAAAAACACTCCTTTGAACTCGCAAGCCCTAGCAAGACACGAAATGTGGAGAAAGGGGTTGAGGATGCAAAGTGACCGACCCCAAGGAGTAAGAAATGGTAGGTTAGAAGCTTATCTCAAATCTCTAAGAACTTCTAAAATCACTAAGAAACTAGATCTTTAATCTCTCTTTGAAGAGATTTAAAAACAAAACTATAGCCCTCAAAATTGCTAAAATTAGAGAAGAAATGAAAAAGATATGAACAAATGAAGAAACACTCAAAAAATCGGGGTTTTATGCAGTTCAGGGGGTCTACGCGACCTTTTTTGCGACCTAGGTGGGTCGCTCGGGTCCACCACCATGCCAAACAGGAGGTTGCACGGCTTAGGCTACGGTTTTAGCCACATCACAGTGTCGCACAATGTGTTGACCACTCCCCTACCGTTCTCCGACCGTTTTTCCCGGCCATTCCCAGCCTTTTTTTCCGTTGTTCTTCGACCGTTTTTCCCAGCTATTATCTGACCATTTCGCGCCCATTCTTTGATGTTTTATCCGACCGTTTTCCCGACTGTTCTCCAACCGTTTTTTCGGTCGTTCTCCGACCATTCTTCAACCATTTTCCCCGACCATTTTTCCGGCTGTTCTTCACTTTTTTTCTTTGACCATTTTCCCGGATTTTTTCCGACCGTTTTTTCTCGGTCGTTCTCCTACTCTTTTCCCTGGGTGTTCTTCAATCGTTCTCCTACTCTTTTCCCTGGGTGTTCTTCAATCGTTCTCCTCGGCCATTTTTCCGGCTATTCTCCATTTGGTTCTCCCTTTCTCCCAAAAAAATAACGGGTGTTACTATAACACAATGTCATTTTTTTTCTTTTTTATAGATCTATTAATATTTATATTACTTTTAAAGAATTTTGAAATTCTTTTCTTGGTTTTCTATTAGTAATTGAGCATAATGTTTAAGTCAATCTAATACCAAAATATTTTTTTATTATTAATCATGTAATATAACATATAAATTTTATTTATTAGCTTAACGAAAATAATACAACAAATGGATCTTTTAGAACGTCTAACTGATCTTGAACGTCTTAATAGAATATCCAATGAGATATTACGTTCATAAAAAAAATTTGATTATGTCAACGTAAATGCGGCATAATAATTTATGCAAGCTAAAAAGTTTTTTCGGCAAAGTCGGACAACTTTTATGATACTTAAAATAAGATGGCAATTTTTGTTTCTATAAACTTAAATTCTCGTTAAGTAATCTATAACCACATCTTTGTGCTCTAAAAACCCTATGTCGCCTTGCAAAAAAGTGGATAACATTTTAAGAAGCAACATGGATTTGAGGAATAAAAATAGTGTTAGAAATTCTGGTTTTCGATTGCTTGGATTCCACTGAAAGTCGTGTAACACTTTCAGATTGAAGTATTTCGATGGTACAATCGAAATTTCAATCGGATAAAATTCAGTGGTTTTCGAACGGAGAATCAATTGTTATGAATCTGTGTACCTTCCAACATCAAAATGACCAATTCGAAAATGAATTCGAAAACTGTCAAAAACGGCAGTTTTTGAACTCTAAACCGGGTTTAAAATAAACTCAAACAAAATAAACTCAAACAAGTGTGCACTCCTTATCTTCCTTACTTGTTCGATATTTATCATGGTTACATTGGTCAACAAATTAATCCCATTACACTTAAATAATATTAGTGATACAAATCACCAACAAATAGCAAAGGGATTTTTATGTTCTCTCAATATGACATAACACAATAACTTTCTTCAAATCGATAGATCTATTAATATCCATTTTTGCCATTAATTTTTTTGAAGATATTTAGCTTTCTTCGGCCATTAGTCCATTACTAATATTCATTTTGTATATTGTTGATATCAATCAAAAACCAAAGATTTTAATAATTAATTATGTAACAAACACCATATAAATTTGATTAATTAACATGGGTTGGGTTCTATTGAGAAAGAAAGTGAACATGAGAAGTAGAAGAAAAAATCTTCACCCTTGCATGCACATTAGGATGAGATACACCAGATCTATAAGCACGATTCATAGATGGGTTTGGGCTTATAAAATAATCAAAGATTTAATCCGTTCTTAACTCTCATTCTCGCACCATCATTTTTTCCTCAAATTAAACCTAACAAAAAAGATGCAGGTTTGCTCAAATAATGAATCTTTAATTAGCAATAATGGCGATGATTTTGGTTTGTTGGTGAGAAGAGATGAACTTAATTGGCATGGTCCCATTGGTGCTTGCTTGCTAGCTAGTGTCAGTCATGTGAAGAAAAAAAAAAGGCAGTGTTGCCCTAATGCATTAGTGGTTAACCAATCGTTGTCAGTAAAAATGTCAAAAAGATTCGGCAAAAGCCCCCATCATCGTGGTCTTTTGTGTTGTAATTGCTTCTACACATGGAAAGGGACACGTTTTGCTGTCTTGTTCGTCGGTAGAGCGAACGAAAAGCCGTCATACACTTTTTAACTTTGCAAAGATTTGGCATTTTCGCAGCTACATGATGATATATTATCGTATACGAACCAATTATAATTGGTATGCAAAATCCTATATATACGGTTTGGTATCTGGCTTAACTGTTACCAACTTTGTTCGGTTGGTATATATTGTTACCGGTTTTAATTGTAATGAATAAAACTTACAAACATTTAAATGTTTAAATAAAAATAATTAAAGTTGCAAGGTTTAATATCAAATACATATATAAAAATACACAAAACAAATAATAAATAAATAAGTCGGTGTCATGGTACTACCGTGGTATGCAACTTTCAATAGCATGTACCAAACTAAGTTCACATACTTGGTACGATACTACTAACCGACAATAATCAGTACCAAGTAAGTTTGTACCAATTTAATTGGTACGACTGATTCAAATGTTGGTTGGTCTGGTTTGGTAAGAAATTGCCACCCTAGTCAAAACATTGGTGTTTGGTTGTTTGCAAGGGTGGCCTTGAGGTCTGCCGGTACTGCCGTCGCAAGCAGTCTCCAATTTATTTTTAATTATTATATATATATATTACGTAAGCGCTTATGCAAAAAATTACTTTATAAAAATAATGTAAGTTTGTTGTGGAGTATTAACAACTAAAGATTGTATTCTTCGATAAACACACGTCAATTACAAGAAAGTAAATAAAACACAAGAATTTGGTAATGCGAAAAACCGTTGTCGAGAGTAAAAACCGTGGATGACATTGAAGATCGTCGATGCGTTAGTGACGTCAAACAAAGATTACAATATGATCGTATGTAAAGAAACCGTGAGTGTGCTTGAGAGCTTAGGGAATACTTCGAGCGAATTCGCTTGTATGATCCGTATATTGCTTCCCCTTTTTTTCGAAATGAGCTTTGTTCATATAGAAGTCGTCTACATAAATGTGTCTTTAATGTTCTTGAATGCGTGCTTTCGTTTATGGTCGTTTTCTTTAAATGCGAGTGTCTTTAGTCGTCGAGAATATCTTACGATTGTCATAAAAAAATGATGACCGCTAGCTTCAAGGTTTTAGTTGTTAGTTTAATCTGCAACATATACCTCGTCATAAATTTATTACGTCAGTCATGACTTTTTTTACCCAAATAGTTTTTCCCCAAAATTTTAAATAAAAAGAGGCAATTTAGAATTTCGAATTTCGCATGCCATTTGTCCAAAAAGAAACTAATCGGTTTGTTTGTAACTAGATCAATTATGTGGGAAACCGTAAAGGCAACAGGATTGTTTAAGGTCACCAACTGTTAAGCTTGTGGTTCAAGTTGTCAGGGACAACTATCGACCATCCAATGAAGGATACGAAAAGGTGGTCCATAGGTGTCGATCATCGGAGAGGTTACTGTTCATTTGGAAACCATATAAATAGCGATGGTTTTTCAATCTTTTCCATTTTCCCGCTTACAAGTTTTCTTAGAGAGAGTGTTTTTCTGAAATCCTTTCCCAAATCTTTGCCAAACTGAGTTCGGGGTTAGAAACCTATAAATAAGGTACGATCTATGTCCCTCATGTACGCAAAAAGTCTTTAGCCCGTAAGCCTAGGAAGAACTGGGAAGCATACTCGTTTTTTGTTGCCAAAGTTAGTGTACCAAAGGATAACGAGATGCTAGACCCTCATAGTGATAATGAGGATAAAGAGAACATCGAGGCTTTTAGAGCATTACCGAAGATACCATTAGACATCGATCTTCGTTCTCCGGGACTTTTAGACAGGAGGAGTGTCCTCCTGGGTTTTTCGTGTCATA